TTGCAGTGTTTAAAATTGTTGCCCAGACTTTTTTCGTTAATTTGGTATATAATATGACTGGAGAATTAATTATATTTGTTTATGAAAAGTGCATTCTACGACACGCTGTACACTAAACTTTTCTAAAAAGCCCCCCGTGGAGGGCTTTCGGGTAAAGAAGGTTAAAAACAAGCTCACTCCTCATCTAGTCAGAACTTATAATTACAGCTTTAACACAACTCACCACCTACCTGAAACAATGTGGCTAGCCAACATTAGCCTGATCTTGAAAAAGAACAAGGACTCTGAAGACCCGGCGTCTTACAGGCCCATATCGCTCATTAATGTAGACGCAAAGATTTTAGCTAAGGTATTGACTCTTAGGCTTGAACCATTAATATCAATATTAGTAAATCCTGATCAAACAGGTTTTATTAAAGGGAGGAATTCCTCCAATAATATCAGGAGGCTTTTGAACATAATACAGTTTGCCAGAGATAATAATGTACAAGGCCTGGCAGTGTCTCTGGACTCATTAAAAGCTTTTGACAGGGTTGAATGGCCCTTTCTTTTCTATTCTATGGAAACATTTTAAATAGGTACAGAATTCATTGACTGGGTGAAACTGCTGTATTTTTCTCCAAGAGTGGCCGTTACTAAATTACTAAATCCTACTGCTCAGATCCGTTCCCATTAGAGTGTGGCACCCGTCAGGTATGCCCATTGAGCCCTCTTGTTTGCATTGGCTATTGAGCCCTTAGCTGAGCTCATCAGAACCACACCAACAATAAGAGGTTTAAATGTCAACGGTTACAGTGCAAAAAATGTCTCTCTAATGCGGATGATGTCCTGCTGTACCTGGTTGAGATAGACACTACCATCCCCTGTCTACTTGAATGTTTGCAACAGTTTGGGCACATATCAGGTTTTAAAGTCAATCTATCAAAAACCGAGGCCATGCCTATTGGAGCTTTGGCCGGCTCTACGCCACCTAGTGGATTCCCTTTTCACTGGTCACTCAGGGAGATAACGTACCTTGGAATTAGAATTGGGCCCTCCCTTAAAAAACTGGTTAAACTCAATCTTAAGCCAATCACAACATGCATTAGGGAAGACTTGAATAGGTGGAGAACTTTACCAGCTTCCTGGTTGGGCAGAATAAGCGTGCTCAAAATGAATATACTGCCTAGGTACCCCGTACAGATGCTGCCAAACTCAATTCCCAACAGCTTCTTGATTGACTTGGATAAAATGTTCACACAATTCATCAGGCAGGGCAAAAAGGTTAGAATGAAAATAGGTAAACTACAGAAAAGGAAGCAACAAGGGGGGCTGGGAGTCCCTAACATAAAGTTCTACTACTGGGCAGCACAAATGCGGTACATATATTAGTGGGTGAATCCAGAGGCTACAAACGCATGGATTGACATGGAGTCGACAAATTGTGATTTACTCACTTTAAACCTGTTATACACAAGGCCCCCAAATTTGGTGGCTCTCGGGCTCAGAGGGGGTAGCATATATTGTCGAAAAAATGCACTTATCGAGAGCGAATATAATGCATGTATATATGTTATATACCAGATTTAAAAATAAAAGTCTGGGCAATACTATCCTCCAAGCCAGGGATTCCCAAAGTGTGGTGCGCGAGCTGCCTCTAGGAGGTGCGCGAGAGGAAAAATGTAATGGTGGTCTAATAGTGTAATAATTAATATTAAATATAATTTTAAAAAATGTAAGTGGGATTTTCACAAAATAAACCCATGAATTATAAAAATTCCCTTTGTAAGATTTAAATTTAAAATTAAAAACTGACAATTTAATAAATAAATGCACTTCAGCTCCTGCCGCCAGTCTTTTACGTAGACGCTAGCTAGCCTAGCTTGTGCAGCTAACGTCAGCTAACAGCTAACTTCATTCATTCAGCAACATTCATGCAAATATGATAAACTGGCTGAAATCGGGGAAACTGTCAGGTGGGACATCTGAAGCTATCAGTCATAAAAGAGGAGAGGGACAGAGAGAGAGAGGAATCGGAGGCGAGAGAAACGGAGAGGTGCGTTGGGGAGAGACCGGGAGATCGAACGGGAGTCAGAGAAAGATGAGATGGAGGAGACCGAAAAGGAGGAAGCGATAGCACAGACAAATCGGGAGCACATAGGCCCATCGCGGAGTCAAGGTGAAAAAAGAGGAAATATGATGAAAATGATCTGGTCTGGGCTTCACTTGGATTGGCAATGCAGATTGCCCAAAGCCACAGTGCGTGGTGTGCAGTGAGGTTCTGGCTAACAGCTGGCTGAAGCCCTCTTATTTACGTTGCCACCTGAACACCAAGCATGCCAGTGCAAGTCAAAAGCCCCTTACATTTTTTATATCGAAATTGGAGGAGTTACAAAACAGCCCAAAACAACTGCAGTCTCATTCATGTGTTGGGTCTACAAAACACACACTACGGGCTTCATATCTGGTCAGTTACAGAATAGCAAGAAAGAGGCTACCTCACACAATTGCCGAAGACAAAGTGCTTGCCAGCTGCCAAAGAGATGGTGGAATGTATGATTGGAGAGAGAGAAGCAAAAAAGTTGGACATGATCCCGGTGTCCAACAACACTGTGTCGCGCCGCATCGATGCTTTGTCCGAAGACATCCTGGCTACTTTAGTTGGTCGAGTGAAGAAGAGTGAGTTTTACTCTCTGCAAGTAGACAAGTCTACAGATCTGGCCAATCTTTTGGTGTACGTCCGTTACCTTTTTGAAGGCACGGTGCAGGAAGATTTTTTGTGTTTTTTGTGTTTTTTATCTTGTCAACAAATGTCACGCGCGAGCAAACTGTTCTCTCATTGGTCAGATTTTTGTGCGGCTCTGTTGCTTTTTTTTTTTTTAAGGTGTGGGGGATTGGGGGTGCGTGAACCCGGTCGGGATGTAGAAGGGGGTGCGTGGCCTAAAAAGTTTGGGAACCGCTGCTCTAACCCATTTTGACAAACTCCAAACACAATTCTACACAACTAATATAATCAACTAGAAGATTTACCACAATATCACGTATTTTTTCGCCATGACTCGGCGAGCTACGTGTCCGGACAAAGCTCCGAACACAAAGCTAAAAGCTAACACGGACAACCGAGATATTACAGAGCAAGAAAATTCGACACAGAATCCAGATAACTTCCAAATTGCTCTCCGTGAAACCAGTACAGAGCTGTGAGCAAACAAACGCCAGAACAACAAACGCTTCACTGCCAAAAAATCATATCTGCACCTTATTTTGAGCTGTTTTCATGTAGACAACGGCATAATTCCCCATTTCCTGGATAAAAACACTGTTGCTACGTATATCCTGTGTGTTTTCTGAGCTGTTTCCTGAAGAAGGGGGGTCAACCAAGCTTGTGGGACCCGGGGGGGAAGAGATTTGACTTTTGGCGAATGGAATTTTATGCTCGGCAAGGAGCGGCGCGTTTTTGATTTTTACTGGCTAACGATTCTGTCAATCAACACCAGGCTACTCCCACTGAATTCTTGAGACTCTGACGCGTCGAACGAGGTGTCTGAAATTTACTAATTAAAGGCTGAGATAGCCTCACATAGACACAGGCAAACTGTAGTCAGACGAGAATGGATGCATGGTTCACAGGCTCAGAGAGGGCTCAGGCTCTCAAAATGATGCCAAACTGCTGTATTTGGATAGATTGAACACTATTAGTGATAAAACAAGTGAAATATATAGTTATATAGTATATACAATTACAATGCTGGAACATGTGACAATTTTGCTTGACCCTGCCTGACCTCTCTGTACTAAAACCTCTCTAATGTTGTCCTGCTTCACTTTATCAAAGTCAAATTTTGCATAGAGACTGCTGACATGTTTTAGGCTTTCAGCTGCATTATTTCAAAGAAATAATAACAATAAAAGTGCTTTTTTTTCAGGCGAACCTGAAACTTTTCAATTTCAGCTGTGTGCCATCTTCATATACTCTTAACCAGTAACATATACACTGATTTTACACATCTGAACAAATCTCACAAGTACTACCTTTATTATAACATCAAAATTATTCAAATAGACCTTGTAGTTAGAGAAATACACTCTTTTTAGTATGTGTATGCAATTTTCGAGCAGAGGCCTAAAAATAGGGCTAGGGTTTTTAAAGAACTGTCCCTTCGTAAACTACAAAAGGGCAAAGCTGGAGGTTCAAAATAACTTTATTGTATGGAACACATGGAACACCTGAAACAAGATCATGGTCTACTTTAGATTTAAGAATCATTTTTCACTTCTGGCTCCCATATGGAGAAACCCAGATTTCCCCCCCTCATGATCGTGTTTAGGCTCTGGCAGGAGAAGGGTCTGGACCAACTTATCAAACTCTATGAAGGAGGAGCAATGGACTCGTTTGAGGACCTGAAGAGCAAATATTCTCTACAACAGTCCCATTTCTTCCACTATTTACAAATAAGACATTATATACCCAAAACCTTACATGCGCCAAACATGTGCTTTCTGGAAGAAATCCTCACACAACCCAGACCAAAAAGATTCATTTCTCATGTCTATGAAAACTTTGGCCTAAATCATAATTACTCCACTGACCACATCCGCAAACAGTGACGGATTAACATGGAGTGTCAGATAAAGGAAAATATATGGACATCGATTATGGAAAACACAATTAACATTCTGAGCTGTAGCACAGATAGAGAAAGACAATTTAAAATATTACACAGACTGCATTGTACAACAATGCTGAGGGGCAGGCCTAGGTTCCCCTACATGTCGTAAATGTAACTCTGACGTTGGTACTTATATACACATGTTTTGGAAATGTGCAAAGATACAAACATTCTGGAGAGAAGTGAAGGACGAAGTGATTTCTTTGATCGGATATGACCTGGAGCTTTCACCTCCTCAATGTATTTTGGCAGCTAAAGTGAGCAGTGCAAGGAGTAGCAACAACGCTAAACTGATTGGAATACTATTGTACATAGCACGAAAGACTATTCTTAAATTCTGGATTTCTAAAGATACCCCTTCCACGGACGATTGGTGCAAGGGGATTCTGGAGGTTCTCCCTCTGGAAAAGTTGACCCACACCCTTCATGACAATGTCAAGGGATTTCTCAAGATATGGAAACCGGTCTTAGACATCGTGGACCCCTCCGGGCTGGACTTTGCCCTGCCAGATTAAAAACACTGGTACCGACGCTGACTTGACCTGATGATATAACCAAGATGTACTTATGTCAGACTGGTGATGCGCGAACGTGTTATTATTTGCTGTGGTTGTCTTTTTTTAATTTTTTATTATTTAATTAATTTTTATTTTTTGTATCCTTAAAGTTCTGGAGTTCTATCTTGTTAAACTGTAAAATCAAAATAAATATAAAAAAAAAAAAAAAGAATAGGTCAATAGACATAAGATTCATGATTGTACACTCACAATCATGTATTTGGTCATTTAAAGGTTAAAATACAGTGGATTTTAAATGTTAGACTTCTATTGATCTTGGCTTAGTGGCATTTAGTGGCTTTATTTCACCTTTTTTGACAAATGTAGTAAATTTTAACATAGTCACTGAAATAGTCACTGAAAAACACGTTCACTATACACAGCCTATTTAAACTGAACTACATTCTGCAGCTGCACCACAATCCTACTCATTCAAAATAAGTTACATATAATCTTCAATATTATAGCAATGATTTTCCATCAGTGACAGCTGACATTAACTGCGTGCACTAAAGACAGACATGCAGATGTTTTATTCAGAGCAGAGTGTGACTTGATGCTGCCGAATGTGTTTTTGAATGTGAGGGCGAAGAAATGACTGCGGTAATGAGTATGAGGCATCAGGCATTTCACTGGAAGGGCCCATTTGGGTTTTCTTACACGTTAGGCCTTAGTAGGGTGCTTTTGCCCCCTAGCCGCTCCATAACAACTAGTTAGCCTTAGTTTTAAGGTATACAAGGAAACTGCCATTTTCTAAAACTTTTGGTTAAAGTAACAGGTAACAACTAAAAGGTCTGTAATGGGATTCAAACGCTGGTCTCTCTCAGGAGGTTTCAAGTACTACACGCCCATCCACCACCAACCTTGACAACCTCTCACAGTACTTGTCCTCTGATCTCAGTTAGCAGCGGAGAGCACAGGGTAGTCAATACAATGCACAAGCTAGAGGACAACACTGATTGCCAGTCATCCTGTCTGGTCCCCTGTAGCCTCATCAAAAGGAATGTATTTGATCCGGTCAGAAACTCCCTACCCAGTGTTTCACTAAATCAATCAATTTGTATGACCAACAGCAAAAGACACATGTTTCATGAAAACACAAATAAGTATCTGTAGATGGAGAAAGCACAGGGCGGGGATCAGGTGGGCTCAAGATTTCAACCAGGGAGTGTTAAAAGAGGGTTATACTTATTAACCTTTCTGTAATGGCTCATGAGCTGACTCTTTATTGATGACCTGGGTTATGAAGTCACAATGATTTCTCTAGGAAGCTGAAATGACAAGTTAAACTATTTGCATTAATTGCTCGACCAGGTTGCTTATCAACAGGCCCTTAAGCTACGGCCAGCACGTTGAGAAGAGCAAAGATAGCAGACAGAGACAGAAGGAAAAGGCTGAAGGTGGCTAGGCCTCTGATGTTGCTGTGAGTTGTGAACAAACTCTGTTTTGATAGCGTCAAGCTTTCTAAAGGGCCTATGAATAACTCAGGTGGTAGACGCTGATGAAAGCAGTGTCAAACCTCAGAGGATTCGATTTTCTATGAATATAATCACTGGGGGAATTGAAATCGGCAAATTCAATGCATTTGCACATAAATGTGCAGCTCTTATTGCTGGGGACCACAGCAAAGCTGCTACTCTTTGTCTAATTACATGAAACATCAAACAGCACTCGGGTATGTCTGTATGCACAAACCATGTTGGATTACACAGAACATTCAGACAAGTAAAGGGGTATTGAAAGCTAATTCTAAGATTGTGTGATCATTTTCATGTCAAACATCATTGGATCCAATAAGTATTACTTGTAAATTATTGTATGCTGGTTCCTCTTCAAAAGTCAGTTCCCCTGATGAGTTAAAGGAACTCATCTTGAATAATTTGCTCATGAGATGTGAAAAGCTGAGTAAAGTTCTGTTTAGTTGAGAAAACAATGAATAAACAGTGAATAGACAGTTGAATCAAGACAAATGTTACTGCTACTGATTGTAGAGTTAGCTCTTCATTTGCAGTGTTGGGCAAGCTGCTTGGAAAGTGTATTGAGCTAAGGTACCTGTAACTCTACATTAAATGATGCTTCACTACACTGAAGCTACGCCCCAGTGAAATGTCAAATATCCTAGATGGTTATTATAATCAATAAAATTCATATTTATAAAATGATCAATAGATATAGAAAATATATGTGCAACAAAATGATGTAGGTGCAGTAGCCGAAAAGGTCTTAAAAGTCATGATAATAACTATATTGAATAACATGATTTAATTAACAATAAATCATCTTGTTCTAATGTTGTTAAGCATACTAAACTATCAATTTGGAACTCTGGTTGATACTTAAATTAATAACTATAACCCAAAATTACTGTATCAATAGCTAGTAAATGTGTGTGTGCGAGAGAGGCAAAGACAAAGTGGCGTTCTTGCTGTAAAATGACGACGGAGACTGCACCTACAAAAAGTATGGTGTACAATGTAAAAGTACAAAGGTGGCCTAATCAAAAAAATGGTGGCCACCAGGATCTCAGCAACATGGTCTCTTTGTCTCCTGGCAGTCACAACAAAGAGCATGTGATCCCAAACTCGATGTCTGTGTTCAGGTTCTGATGTCGAACGGTGCCGATTGGAGGAAAACCGGTTGTTCATTCGTAGTCCTTCAGTTAGCAGCATGGCGCTGTCTTACTTGTTGCTCCTTGTTGCTTGAAAAGTCAGCTGGCAGCAGATTTGGGTGGGTGGGTGTTATCCTAGTTGTGAACAAAGAAGCCTGGAGTCACCAGCCTCAAGCAGAATTCAGCAGCAGGCTACAGAGGTCTGGTAAGCTCACTTCTTTCAAACTCCTCACCTCCAGATTTTATTGTTTTCATTTTCAAACCTGTAGTCTTTAGTCCTAAAACGACACTGACTCGTGTGTCATCCCTTCAGGATATTGTGTGCATGTGTCCATGCATGCATGCGTGCGTATGTGTGTGCATGGGGAGCAGTGATAAAGGATTGTTTATCTGCTTCGTTGAACAAAGAGCTCAGTTGGACAAAGAGTTCATATCTGGTCTGGACAAACACCAAGCACCTGATAGCCTGTTCTGAGCCTCTCTCACTGAAAGCCTTGTTTGGCATCCCGATGCTGGTGTTGTATCACTGATATAACTATTTCATTTTCTACTTAGAAGAAATACACCACAGATGAGGCTTACACGGCCCCAATAGGCTGTGGCAGGTGCTCTGGTACTGACCTCCCCCCGACCCTTCAAGTGGATCTTTCGATGTAATGGCAGATGTCAAGAGAGAAATAATCGAATGAAATCAAGACAGAAAGACACAAGTGAAATTGATAATAAAGGCCTTTTTCAAAAGTCTGTTTTATTTCATTGTGGCATTTTGTGCAATAACACTTTTATTATTTTGTAATGTCACATTTATTTCATTTATTCTGATCAAATTTGTATTATTTGAACCAGAGAGATGTAGACTTAAAATCATCAATACAGTAGCTAATAAAATCAGCAAAATGCTATATGTAAAATTACTGGACATAAAGCTTTAACAATAACATGACAGGCCCACAAATAGCACACATATTAAGTCACTCCAAGTCACCATAATAGATGCTGATATACATTCCCCAGACATACATCTAGACATAACATACCCACACTGCACACCCACATCTTCAGTCTTATAGTTTCCTCTTTTCTTCAAGTGAGCGTCCATTGCCGTCAAGTTATGTGGAGTGTATGTGGGATTGCATCACATTTATCCCACATACACATACATCCCAATGTCATATTTATTTCATGTCAAGTTTTACTTTCTTTAATAAAAATGAAAAAAAATGCAATATTCGCTTCGAGAGTGTCTGTCAGCTGGGGCAGAACAGTTCTTCTGACCATTGGAAGTGCACAGATCAACACACTGTACAGAGGAGGACTGAAACATGAGAACTGGATCTACAGCGGGTAAATGTTGGATTCTCAAAAGATAGATTTCAGGTGGAGCATACCTTTAAGATAGATAAGATGAAGGTGCTACAACACGAGACACAATATGAGTTGTAATTACCAAAAATATCACTGGTGAAGTTTTACAATTGCTGAGCTTTGAGCAAATGTATTTGAATATATTCATCCAGTCAACAGAAATGAGCATGTTTACAGCATCCTCTCTCTTCATGTCTCCACTTCAACTCGTGTGCCTGTGAACAGCAGCATGATGTGAGGCAGAAGAATGTGTTCTTTATTCCAGCTCCTGTTTACCACAGCAATATTGCTTCCTCAGATGTAGTCATTGTGTTTATTCTCAGGACAAGGACCTCCTCTCCTTCTTCCTCCTCATCCTCCTCTTTCTCTCAAGCTCACAGTGAGCTGGCTTCACAGAGAGTGTTTTGCTGTGGACCTAATGTCTAGTTCTGATTGTTAACAAGCACAGTAGCTGGTTTGAAGGGTAAAAAACATCTTGTTTCTGGGCCGACCTGGACAACATCATTACACTTGAAAACAGGAGGTTGCTCTCTGGTGTTCCTAGCAGTGGCAGGCCGTGCATTTTATACCTGGGCCTTCACTACTGTCCTGCAGCTGGAACACAGCTACGGTTATTATTTGTTTTGTGTAAAAATGAAGCTCAACACCTATAAATACACTAACTGCCAGAGTGCAGATACATGAATACGCCGAGAGTGCGTCTCCTCTCTGCGCTGACTGCAGCTGGGACTGCTGCGCGAGGCTTCTGTGAGAGTACCCGCCTGTGAGTGCTTTGGGGCGGCAGAGGGGCTCACGGCAGCACCTGCTGCTCGTTCACGACAGTAACTTTAGAACGTACATGCTTTCACGTCAGAGTCAAAACACCAGAAAAGTCTCCAACACCAGAAAAAGTCGCTAGATTTGTCGCTAGTAGCTTTTGACAAAAAAGGTCTCCATGAGGGTTTGGAAAGTCGCCAGATTTAGCGAGAAAGTCGACAAGTTGGCA